TCACGCGATGACGGAGTAGCATTTTAGGATGGTCAGCTATGCTAGCTTCAGCGTCGGCTACGTTCTCCAGCTTATCAACTCGTTCAAATTTGCTCATGTCATTGAGTATGCTATACATTTTCTGAGCGTCTCGTATATATTTACATACCGGTTATTGTTAATGGTACTGAGGTAACAATGCGAAATAAGTTAGGTGTCGGCAAATTACAGAAGAGAGGTGGATAATGTATCAGTTTTAGTTGTATTTGAAGTGCAAAAGTGAAGAAGTTAGAGAACTCGTGTGTGCTTGCTGCAATGAGTGGTGTACATGGTACACTGTCCCAGCAATTGGGGCTTGTAAATAAAAGCAAAAAGTGCCCCACATGTTCAACGGACGCTTTCGGCTACTCTACTACATGGGATTATATCACAGCGCCCACAGCCGGTAGGTGAGGCGCCTTGGGTTAGCAAAATAAATAATGAACTATGGTTTAACTTGATGCACATCGTCAGTGGAAGCAGGATTAAGCGGGAGACAGACTTGTGTCCGGATTTGACCCGGAGAGAATATGATGTCCAAGACGCTGATAGGTGGTTAGATGATGTCGTGTTGAAGTTGTTTGGAAGGACCAGTCTGTGGTAGTAACAGTCAATTCCATTACTGGATCTTTTATGTGTTGTTTGTATCACATTACCTTAGCACACATAAAAGTATCTGGATTGAGGACTTCTGTTTCTATTTGACACGAAGTAAGAACTTGCCAAGTTTGCTTTAAAAGTATGCCGGTTCCCGCTCACTTACTGACACAATGGTGGCTTGTTCCATGAATGAGTGTGCCTTACGTGGATGAAAGTTTGACGGGTATTTTGCCTGGCCTTTTTAAACGAAATTGATTAGGCACTCCTCCTGACCGCTCTGCACAGTATCTTGACCCAGTGACGTAGCAACTAGTTTTGCCGCCCCCGTGCAGTTGCAAATCCTTAAACACGTACAATAAAGAATTACAATTCAACATTTAGTCTCATATAACTACAACCAAGGGTCTACTTTTAGAGTACTACCGTAAATGCAGGTAATCGAATTGTTACAATAATAGTGTACAAAATTTACCGATTCACTAATCGTGCATTACTCATCATCATCATCATCATCATCATACAAGTTAGCTAGAGGTTGGGTGCACCTCAGCTACTGTGCCGCAATACACAGAAAAAGGGAGAAAAAATCGAATGCAACTGGTGCAAGCCGGCTGAGCTACCGGTAACGGATGGGCATCTCTCCGGTAAGCTACCAGCCCGCTATGTGCATCAAAAAATTACTATGCAAAATTATATAAGGTTAAATAATGAGATCGTGGTTGCAGGGGGAGGCTAAGAGGGATGGGGTGGGACAAAGAAACGCACAGCACGAACGCCACTGAGGTCAGCTCCTAGCCGTATCAGCAAGTGTTTCCAACCAAACGAGTTCATCGTCTTTCGGACCCCAACCAGGGAGCCGAGACGCTCCAACCGAGGCCAGCTCAGAAGTGAGGGCCTTCATACTTCTTGACAAAATCATCGCTTGGCCACCCCTCCTATTCTTCCATCCACACGCCCGGCGCGCAAACAGCACACGTCGCGGGAGTCGGTGAGCTGGCATGCGTAACACGTGGCCGAGCCATCGGAGCCTGGTGCGTGGAATAACGGTGCCGAGCGGTTCAGTTCCTTTTCCTGTGCCATAAACAAGGCGTCGAACACGCTCGTTACTCACGCGGTGTTCCTACCAAATGTGAGCTAAATTACGAAGGCACCAGTGGTCGAAAGTAACTAGCCTCTTGAGGTCCGCTGCTTTAAGCGGCCAAGTTTCACAACTGTACAGTAGGGTCGAACGTACTGCTGCATTGAACACTCTACCCTTCAGGGCGAGAGTGATGTCGCACCGGCGCCATAAATGGTGAAGGTTAGCAAAATCGCCCCGAGCTTTTACTATACGGTTCGTGATCTCATCTTCAATCCCACGGGCACTGATACAACTTCCCAGGTGGTGGAATTTTTGAACGACTTCTAGCTGATCCACACCAACGGTCAGCGTAGGGGGCGGTCCATACCATTACTCGAGACCATTACTCGAGATAATATTATCGAGAACACTAACAAAATTCAGTCCATTGGCACATACCCTTGGTATGGGGAGAACTATCAATCCGTGTCGCTTTTCTGGTAGTTCGTTATGTTTGCGTTTTGAGAATGTGTTCTCACAACTGGCAGTCCTAATATTTCGAGTAAGGAAGTTGCGCAGCATATTTCCCGAAGTGATATTTCTGTGCAAAACTCAAAAGTTCAGAAGGTCCTTTGATTTGATCATTGCTCGATGCTTTCACAAAATACTACAATCTTCTTCCTTCGGGAAGGAATTCCTGTTATCTTCCTCAAATTTGTTAGGCGGAGAACCATAGTTATCGTAATGCACATTTCACTACGTAATGAAATGTTGGCGAGATCATAATTTGCTAAAATCAATGGTATTTCATCAGACAAATTGTCTGTGACAGACAACATTTCCCGTTTTAACTCAGTATCAATTCACATCCATATAACAACCGATTCTTTTTCGTCCATTCGTATTTTTTTGGAGGATTCGACGCTTCATGCTTATTCCGAATTCAGCGTACTGTTTTTAGATTCATCCATTGCAAGCTTCACCATTTGCTATTTCTTCTGAAGGTTAAACGCTTGACATTGTAATCTTGACAGAGTGGTCCTGCAGACCCAATCCTATTGTTTCTACATATCTGTGCATCGTTGATTACCACGAGAACAAATCTCTAATGGCTCAGGAACAAAATAATTGGAAGCGGCAATACCGAGGTGGGAACTAAAGATGCATCTGAACTTGTGGCTGCATCTTCGCATTATTATGGGAACTGTTTCAAATAAATTATGTGTTCCGAGTATTTCTTCACCCTAACACTTACAGCATCTGCTGGACTACTCCATCTAGGTTTTATAGCCACTTGATACTTAGAACGTTGACTTGAATCAAGACATTCCAGCAATGTCCAGTTGAAAAATGAATGATGCTAGACAGTCCATCGTGCCAAAAATGTAACAGAAGGAACCGTCAAATAAAATTGCTGTGTACAAACCGGATTCAAGTAATAGTTTGTGCTTGACACAAATGTAGCATTGGGTTGATTCCGCAGACTTCTCTTCACGCTCGATTGAAAGCCAGCCGTAACAACCGCATTGTTACTTGCTTGGCCACGGCATTCATCAATCTGAATTCAATCCTTCTCTGGGTCTCTCAATGCCCATTCAGAAATTTTCTCTGTTCTTTTGCTGTTGGTCTCAATGAAGTTGCGAATCAACCCCACTACCGTCACTTCATTTTCACTAATCTAATTTTTATGGGGTACATAGGGAGTGCTATTAAATATTAAGCAAACATACTTGCTTTTCTTGACGTAATCTACAAATTTCTTTCTCACCTGCTTTACCAAATTGCTCATTAATTCATTTCGAAACTGTGGCGACAAAGAAATAGTGCAGATTTTCCTTCCCGGCTAAACTGTCATCAAAGCTTTAACGAAGAACAGGTTCATAGTTGCAAACAATGTATGTATCACTTCCGAAAATTTCCCCCTATTTTTCTGGCCTCCTTTGTCATCCTGGATCTATTCTCGGTGACCACACAGTAACATCTTTTGCTTAGCGAGAAACCTGATGATATCCAATATTCTAGCTTGAATTTCATGCCACCTTTTTTCTACAGGTTCCAGCTACATTTTTTCGTAATTACTATTCCTCCAACTAGCTGGATCGCTAGCTCCTTGAGGTTGAGGATTGATTGCGCAAACGATATACTAGCTTCGTTTTCACATGCTATTGGATTTAGTTTCCACAAGCTTCTGAAACCCTCATCAGTCGAAGAAATAGACTATCCCGTTGAAAATATCCTGTAGCTGAAGCAAAACAGTGCCTCTTTTGAAGGAGACTACACTATCTATGTTCGAAGCCTTAGCTCAGTTTTGCAAATTTCCCCAAAAAAAACCAATTAGTTTTTAGATTCTTAGCTCTAGCTTTTTATTCGTTCCAGCTAGAACCACTTAGTGAACTCATACTTGAGGTGCCGCAACACAGTATATGAGAACCGGAATAAAATAGCAAGGTTTTCATGGTCAATCTCAACAGTCAACTGACAGATATCCATGAAATCGGCATTATTGCGTCAGCGTGGTCGCATTTCCTATTCTTCAACTATGCACGTATCTTCTACATCAACATTACAAATATTTCCTGTGGTCTCCATGCTGTAAATGTCGTATTCTGTTGCTCGGATAGCAAAGTTTGCAGTACCAAGTTCATCTTCAGTCCTCAGTTTTGCAAATTCAGTCACGGATGTAATTTTGATGATTTTATACTTGGTATTGAATAGTCATCCGTACTAAAAATTCTGCGCCCTGTCATATGCCGCTCACACTATGCTTCGCCTCTGTACTGACCATGAGCTCTGGTTGAACTCTCAATCTAGCTTTTGATATCATTACTACTTTACCAGTTCTACTATATAGTTAACCTAATATTCAATGTAAGAAGCGCCTAGGAAGATTTATTTCCTAGTCGAAGTGAACGCCAAATCCAGAATTTATCGCTGGTGCGGTATCACGCATTCGCGATCTTTAGTCAATATGGCAATCGGGCTGGGGACCAGAACAGTCGATCCGTGACATAGTTGATGTTTGGTACTAAGGTATTCGGTGATATGGGTCCAACTAGTTTCAGTCGTAATTCTGTTACTGCAGGAAATTTTCCCGTTTCAGAAATGTATGGTCCTCCCCGTCCATTACTGGAGATTGATCAAACACCAATATCTGTTTGCGTCTGCGTGAAAGGAAGTCTGTCAGAACTCATAGCTGTCAATATTCTAATTTGTACTTGCTTACCAGTTGTTGTTGTCAACATGCAATCGCTTGAATGCTGTTCGCCTGGGTAATTTATCATTTTAATTTTCCTATGTTCATCATTTCCACGCACGCTCACAGTCTTTGCAAAAGCGTCTGAATAAAACTATGCGTCAGAACACCGAGTTGGATTCACGTATCTACACCATGCAAGCGGGTAGTGATGAGGTTGCCAGCGCCCTGAATCAAGCTAATGAGAAGTTGAACGATCTGAGAGATCAGTTGGATCAGGAACGGTCGGAACAGGCAACGTTGAAACAGCAACTGAAGGAAATACGCGAAGAACTTGAACAAACGAAGAAGCGAGAATTATCGAGTGAGCAGGAACGCAGGATACTGCAGGTGAGCAATCATTGGAAACATAGATAACAGGTTAATAGCAACGTAGCACGAAGAGTAGTCACTTATGGGAACACAGCACGTACAGCGTGTATGTAGGTGGACTGCGTGACTATTTTTTAATACACCTGTCGATTGGTAAATGAGGAAGAGTTGCACCAGTTGCCAGTCCAGCTATTGTCTATTTCGCAGTGATTTCCTTCGGGTAAGTCTATTCAACAGCCGATCACCTGGTATATGTGGAAAATTCCATTGTTGACCCTGTGCAGGAGATGCCAGCTTAGTTGTTGGATGATAGCAGCAAACCTCAATGCCGACATCTTGTCCAAAATGCATCAGAGTATCCATTCTGGGGTTAGGGTTCTCATATTTCTTCTGAGTTTAACAACCAGCAACTTCATACCTGAGGCATGCAGGTGGTGTCAAACTTAAAGCCTGTAATCAAATGAAAAAGGCCATCCTAAGTAATCAAAGTAATCAAAAGCTTCACCCAGGAGCCACAAGTTACTTAGCAACGGTGGGTTCAGTGTAAACCTAGAAACAGTAGATTCGTTGGAAATTGTCAACGCTGACTAACGGATTAGAATTGTAAGGTTCAACTATGGAACGCATGGTGACAATTCTTCACCCGTACAAGGACTGACAAACGCCGAAGGATAAATCCGAGTTTGTTATTGTATACACACACCATCACTACCACACGAGTGCCAGTCACATGTGTAACAAATAAGTTGGCTAATTCTCTTCCAGTGAGATGATAGCACGGCACACAACGACGAAACGCTGCCCAACAAACCTTCCATTTGATTGTTATCAAACCCCTCTGAGTTCCTGGTATCCTCATTGGTTCCAAATATATTGGACAATTCTGGAAAAAGACGTGAGAGTATAAGTTTATTTGGAAGACACCACTTTGTAAAGCTGGACATCAATCATGCACCAAGTCGCTTGGCATCACGAAGACTTCGTGTCAAAAATGAACACTCACCCAACAGTATAACAACCGATTATTTATAAATTATCTGAAAGTATGGCCTATCGAACATTGTTATATCGATCGCAATATATTCCGGGAGACAGAATGAGGTGCACCAGAAGAGGAGGAAGCAACTACTTGGGCCGTATTTCTTCTGCAGAACAGAGAAGCGAAAATGATAATTCGGTCAAGACCGCATCAAAATAGTCCAGTTCATCACAAACGACAGTAACATACAGCAATTTTTTTGGCACGTCGCTGCCGTGCAAATCTGACGAGCTTTGTACTGAGAAGTAGTGGAAAATGAAAAGAGGGGCCTAGTGTTTTAGGCAATCACTAAGAGAAAGGCACCTATGGGTGTCAACCAGACTTGGCCACTAAACCTGACTATCGTGTGATGGAAGGTGGCGACTTCCCTGGTCCGCACCATAAGCACCCATAGACCACAGGTGGCTCGTCAGCAAACACATTTCACACTGGTTGTTTAAATTTAAAACAACAGCACAGACACCAATGATATTAACTGTGATAAAATGTCTCGACCCAGGCAGAGGTAGTTCGAACGGAGTCCATTATGGACGAAGACAGGCGGGTAATGTACATTCTTTCCAAGGTAAATGTTGCTCCAGGTTAACGAATGACTCCCTCGTATCTTATACTATCCCAGATCAACTGCATGAGCATCGTGCCCTAACCAGCGTAACCCATTCACTCGTATATTTGTTCATCTAAGCAAGCAATTTGATCACAACCAGCTAGTACTCTAAAACATGCCTTGTCTTTCTGAGCACTGAGGCCAAACGACACTTGCAATGCTTTGAACTAGCAGCCTGAAAGTTCCCAGATTCTCAAGGAAAAGAGCTATGGTTACTGGGCTACAGCGTTTGAAACCAATGAAACTCCACTCCGGCACCACAGCTGTCAAGGGTCAGGAACGTAGTTCTGGATTTCGTTATACAGGAACTAGTTAACAGTTGCTCATACGTTGCAAATGATGCAGGTGCCAAGTTTATCAAGTACCTCTGTCTCATTGTCATGAAACGTCAGGGTGCTATCAAGCGGCTACTGATCCTGCAACGTTACCTTGCACTTTGGTGGCGTAATGTATATGGTTGGCGGCATCCGGTTTCGGATTTGCCTGTCACTGTGGCCAGCCACAGGACGCCTGCGCCTACAGAGGGACCATGGATGGCTTGCGCTGCACCACCCACAGGTACAAACACAAACCTCATATCCAGTGTAAACCCGAAGGAATAAGACCGGGAGGCATGTGGATGGGAGCCACGTTTCATCAACGCAGCCGGCCCACACTCCTTCACAGACAAACACAAGCACACTGTATTTGGGGAATCAAGTGCACACAAGGCGGTGGATGGACCGTAGTCCGCTCCACACTGAGTGCATGGAACCACTCTTCGAGCCTAGCACGGCCACAACGAACGTGCACTCCGTCTCCTCCAGCAACGACCAACTGTCTCCTGGAGTCAGCATGGATGAGGTAGTGGGTAATAGACAGGTAGGCACCTTGTCAACATGTACATCAAGCACAGCCACACCGGAGATCTCAAGCAACAGTCAATCAGTTGAAACAGCAAGATGAAATAAAAAAAATCGAGTAATGCATAGAGATACGGTGACATAACTCTTCGCTAACTTGGCATATGAAGTAAGTTGGTTAGAAACGAATCCGCGATAACCACAAAATGTCCCCAATTTACACAATAAGTGCCACAAAAGCTATAAACTTTGCGTAAACAACGTGTGCAAGTTAATAGAAGCTTGTTTAGGTAGGCAGAACAACCCATTGAAGTGGAATGAAATTTATCCAGCTTAAAAAGCCCTACATCAAGTGTAAGTTGGTGTAGCCCAACTGCGACGAAGAAGCATCATGAATGTAACAGCAAGTGTATCCAGCCAAGCGTGTTCGTCGTCTTTCGGACCCAAACCAGGGAGACGATACGCTCCAACCAAGGCCAGCTCAGAAGTGAGGGTTTTCATTCCTATCGACAAAGTCATCATTTGGCCACCCATGCACTTCTTCCATCCACAACCTCGGAGCGCAAACGACGCACGTTGCGGGAGTCAGTGGGCTGGCATGCGTAACACGTGACCGAGCCATCGGAGCCTGCTGCGTGAAATAACGGTGCTGAGCGGTTCATTTCCTTTTCCTGTGCCGTAAACAAGGCGTCGAACACGCTCGTTGCTTACTCGGTGTTCCTACCAAATGAGAGCTAAATTGCCAAGGTACCGGTGATCGAACGTAACTAGCCTCTTTATGTCCGTTGATCTAAGGGGCGAGGTTTCACATCTGTACAGTAGGGTCGAATGTACCACTGAATTGTACACTCTACCCTTCAGGGTGAGAGTGAAGTCGCGTCGGCGCCATAGGTGGCAAAGACTAGCAAAAGCGTGTCGAGCTTTTGCTATACGGTTCTTGATCTCATCTTCAATCCCACAAGCGTTGATACGACTTCCCAGGTAGTATATATATATATATATATATATATATATATATATATATATATATTTGCAACGGTTTACGAATGAACATAAAGCCATCGGAAACCATGGGGTACAGAAATAGTAAAAGAAAACACAACACAAAAACATCAAAGTGCATGGTGGCGCGAAGGGTGTGCCAAATGATGAGGCCACTACAGTAAAGTTGTGAAGGACTGAATGTGCCACTTTCCGGTTGTCGTTTGACAACCACGCTGATATTAGCTGCATAGTCCAGTTTAAACACTGAAAAGCTTACATCATGTGGTTCCGCAAGTGAGCGATTTGTGATAGGTTTCAAGACAACACTGAAATACAGTAGTTAAATGGGGTAACTCTAGCAAAAGCCAATTGTTGGTTGAAAGGTTTCCGAGTATTTATCATAAACTTCCACAAAATTGGTAACATTCGAGTACAAAACAGGTAACTGTTAACATATTTCAAGGAAATGCCTCTCCAAGCTAGTAAGCTGAACAGAATAAAGCGTTCGGTTGAGCCGAATACGCGCTTAAAATTAGTGAGTTTACTTAAAGTCGGTTTGCGTCGGGTGATATGTTACTATAACTCCTTCCATTCACCGGTAAAAACCACCGTGCAATTAACACTGACGTTGGCTAGTCATAAATGCTTCCTCGCGTTCAAAACTCCAATTTTCAATCAATGTCTTATAAAAGAAAGATGTTCAGGCTACGGTTTCGGACACCAATCGTGGTAAGTTGGGAACGGAATGATCGGTAGACCCTTACGCTAAGTAGAGGGTGTTACAGGCTGCAACATCAACATTATCGTCCCTCGAACATGCTTTGTAAAGTAAAAGTTGGTGACGATGTTCAAACCAGCAAGCATATTTTCCTCGGATTGCACACAGGGGTCGAAATTGAACTTTCCCTTCCAGACTTAGTACAGTCAAAAACTGTACTAGTGAATAATATGATGTCATATTCCCACTCACCGCACACAAGTAACAAATCCAGCTTAGATCCAGTAGAGTCGGATATGCATGTCCTGCAGACTGGAGTCATAAAAATCTAGAACCGACGGGCGCCTCATCAGTGCAACAGGACTCTAAGGTCGTGATAGATCTCGGTGTTTCGATGTGATATGCACAATGACAGCATACGAACACTTTGACGGCATTTAATTCGATCTGGATCGGTACCTGTTGACCAGCCCCTAAGGTAAAACTGGAGCGCATTTGTGCACCAGCAATAAATCAGGCAGTTGGATCCCCTAGACGGTCACATTATGGAAATCCTTTTAATAAGGGACTTTTAAGGGAACTAACTGCTCCATGGACAATGAGGATCGTCACTCTTCTCGCCCGGTGCTCGATGTTGTGGTATCTATAGATTTTAAAACAAATGGACATAATCACATTGGTATGCTCACAGCAAAGATCACTTGACAGTGCTGAAGAACAAGGAATTGCAAATACCACTCGTATGCCGATGCTAGTGTTAAGACCTAAGAAGAGTGCCAGGTAAAACTGCCTCAAGTTGAAGGGCCTGGACACCAACGTAAGGGGAGG